TGTCCAAAAGGGGGGGGGGGGCATGAGAGAAAATAATTAAGAACCACTGCTGTAAGCTAACAACATTGTCGTCGGTGTGGATGACTCAGCAGTTTATATGGCAACAGGATATGACCGATTTTACCAGATCAGCATTGTTGAATTTATTGTAAAAAAAAAAAAAAAATTTTCATTTTTTTCCTAACCCTAGTGCAACATTGTTGCATGTGAGCCGAACATTTTTAATGCTGACACCTGGAGAGCACCACTGGCTTTGCTTAAGCATGACAGAGGGGTGTGAGTATTGGCAGAGGGACGACTTCCAACTCAAAGTTTAGTTCTCTTCTCACTCTGGAATGCTAACCAACGACATGCCTGAGGTGACAGATGAGGCCGAATGTGGAATCTGTTAAACGTAGGCTAACGTAGCGTAGCATGTTTTGTCGCAACGTTTCCTTCCGGTTGTTGGGATTGAGATGTCAAAAAAGATTGCTTCCAGGGAACTGCTCGATTGTAAATTGCAGAAAAAGTCAAACATGGCGTGTGTGTGTGTGTGTGTGTCTAGTAGTAAGACATACAGCAAGGCTGGGGCGGCCTCCTTAAGAAAGCCCCTAATTGAATCCATCTGTTCGATTCTCTCTGCAGACCAAACTGCAGCGAACAATAGTTTTGTTTGTTTCCGAGATTCACATAAAGTGTTCACGCTCTGGGGTAAAAGGCAGTGTCATTTCTCTTTCAAATGTCCTCGTTTTTCCTCCTTGTTCTTATTAAAAACGTTATATTTAGTCGTTTTTGAGGGGGATTCTGAGGTTTCCAAAAGCCCAAATATAACGAGGCTGACGAGTTGGGGGATTCCATTCGATTATCTGAAAAGACACATCATGTCATTTCCTGTGTTGTCATAAAATGACCTGCTGCCAAAGAATTGTGTTAATTCAATTTTCTCAATCCTAAAACAATAAGATTTAAAAGATAAAGTGTTGTTTTTTTTAAATAAAAAACCCAATTTCTTTTACTTTGTAAAATATGGCTGTTATGACATAGTTTAGAATGCCGTTCCTATGGCGCGACGTAACTCGATTTTCGACGCTGGTCGGAACTCACATCCTGTACATGAGTACTTATGTCACTCACCTACGCTAACACAGTGCTAACGTCATAAACTAGGACATAAAACATCAGGAGAATCTGATTTACGCCTGGGAGCCATAACGAAGGGCAAAAAGTTCCCAAAAAAAACCCCGACAGAAATGATAGAAATCGAACGTAGCTCAACACAACATATGGCGTACAACCGGTGAATGTAAACAAAGCTATCTTTGCGCAGTAACGTATTTGTTAGCTGTGCTTGCCAACTAGGTCCGCTGGAAATCAGTTTTAACTTCGTACGTCAAAATGATGGAACAACGTCATTGCCGCTAACTGTTAGCAGCGAAAACCACAGTTTGTAACTAGACGATAAAAAAGGTCACACTGCCATAAATATGACAAAAAAATATGTATTTAAAAAAAATACATCTGACTACTTTATGACCAGTAGTGACATACTGTATTTCATTTTAGCCTGTTAGCTCTATGCTTTTACTCGTGGACATATTACAGTAGCTGGTAGACGTTAGCAACGACCTAGACGTTTGATATAGAACGTAGCTGGCCAATGAAAAGAGAGAAGTGTATTTCAAATTTCACAGGAGAAGAAACAATATTTCATTATACTCTGATTTAAAAGACAATACTTTGTTAGAAATGAGTGATTCTGTAACAATAATAATAATAATACTAATTTGAATTTCAAATATTGTTTATTCAGTCTTTTAATAGTAACCTCTCATCAACTAATACGCTTTTGTTGTTGTCCCCCCCCCCCCCCTCGGTTGCTGCATTACTACATTGTGTCTGAGTATGCGGTGGGAGTATGTTGGGGAGAGCGGTGCCTCAGCTGCTGGTGGCTGACTCATGATGGACATATGTGGCAGTGTGTTAGT